CCCCAAAACCCCAAAACCCCAAAACCCCTTTAAACATATATTAGTTGAATGTCAGTAAATTTTCAGTGATTCCACTCAAAAATATTAAATTCTGTCTTCCAATCAATATATTTATTGGCCTTGCTTACATGCGGTCGTGAGAAGACGGTTGCTTGAATTCTTCTGAGTTTCGAGGATCAGTGCCTGGACATCTAGGAGAGTTGAAGAAGAGCTTACTCTGTTGAGAGCGTTCTTAAAGAGAAGTCTAAGGGATGATCATTGGGGTTAGATGAGTTTTTTTGAGGGTTATTGGGATCGGATGTACGATTGGGCTGACTGTTGTTCAACATTGGAGTTCCATCAAGATTTAGGATATCTTTACAGCCATAGATTGGTTGGTCAATCCCTAAATCCACTATCTCACGAATAACTAGAGATGAGTTAATAGCATACTTTCAATCTGATTGTTGCGTTTGGAATGCCAAGGGGCCTGATTCTGACGAGGATTACAATGTTGTTTAGGATTTTGATTTTGTCTAGGATATTTATGCCCTCTAAAACTTGAATTCTGTCTAGGGTTTGAAGATTGCCTTGAGTTTATATGTTGTCTTGGGTTTACATGTTGTCTTGGGTTTGTGTGCTGTCTTGGATTTGTGTGCTGTCTTGGATTTGAATGTTGTCTTGGTGCTGAATTCTTTCTTGGATTAGTGAATTGTCTGGAATTTGAAGATTGTCTTCGATTCGGGATTTTTTAGGTGCTCTATAATTTCTTGGGGCGTTAGTGTTTGTTCTTGATTGTGCTCTGTTCTGCATATTTAGTACAGGTGTTATTGCACATGGCTCACTCATGTCACAGTCCATGTCAGAACTGTTATTGGCCATACCATCACTTCCTTCACTCTTCATAATGACATCTTCAACTGAAATATTGCTTTTAGCAGTCTGTCTGATGAAATTACTTTCGAAATCATTCGATTGTGCAGTAATGAGTTCAGGAAATGCCTAGAGTTTAGATACTATATACGTTTCGGAAAATTTTTAAAAATTCAGTGGAATCAAGTTCCCTGATAACACCATCACTCTCAATTCGAGATCTGTAACTTTGAATAATGAAGAATTCGCTCATCTGCTCGTACATAAGCTTTAGCCTTTCAAGAACCTCTGCTTGGTTTGGTACAATAGGACCTACAAAAATTAATACAAGCCTCACTACTTTCCATTGACTTAAAAATTATAACTTTCTATTTGGACATTTACTTTAGGGGTTTTGGGGTTTTGGGGTTTTGGGG